AGCAGTACGAATATAGACCTCCAAGTTCACCAGGACATCCGTTGTGCTGCGACACCTGGGAAAACCAGAATGAAAAGGGGAGAAGTGGTGATAGTGCTCTAAGAACCACATCAAACGAACGTTAACCATACGTTCAAAGAGCTTGCAGACACAACTCGTGAGGGCAATAGGGCGGAAGTCCTTGAGGGATGATCCGAAAGACCCTGGTTTCCAAACAGGGAGGACAACAGCATCGAGCCAGTCTTCAGGGATTGACGACGACTCCCAGACCCGATTGTACAGACTCAGTAAATACTGAGATGTGTACGGAGGGAGATGGTGAAGCATCTCATAATGAATGCCATCGGACCCTGACGCCGTAGAACCGCAGAGAGCTAGGGCTGACTGAAGCTCAGAGACAGAGAAGGGATCGTTACAGGGAAGGCGAAGATGGGTACAGAAATCTAATGGACGAGATTCAAGAATAGACTTACGAAGAAGGAAGGATTGGGGAAGATGAGAACCAGAACAGCAGATGAAAAGTGGGAATCCATTTTGGTCGCGATTTGCAATGGATCCACCACAAGAGCACCACGGAGGCAAAGGACCGGAGAGACATCGGGAACGAACTTACCCGCTATCCTGCAGATATGCTTCCAGACCAGTGGCAGAGGAGTTTTGGACGTAACGGTGGAGACATAAGACATCCAGCATACACTTTTAGCCACACGGGTGGTCCTATGGACCACCCACACTCGCCTTCCGGAGCAAAAGAAAAGACTCAACCGTCTGCCGGCGGCGGTGCCTTTTCCAGGCAGCACGCTTACAGCAGAGAGCCCGAGCACAGTCCATATTCCACCAGGGAACGCACTTCCGCGTTCCTCAAGGGGAAGAGTGAGGAATAGACGGAGAGCAGTGTCAAAGACAGTGTCATGAAAAAGATGGAGGGTGCTAAGGAGAGGCAGAATGGAGAGGTCGGAAATAATAGCACTGAGAGTAAAGAGGCGCCAGTCAGCCTCGGCAAACCGCCACCTAGAGAAAAAGAGAGGAGGGTGAAAAGAGAAAAAGGTAACAAGGACAGGAAAATGGCCACTGCCATGGAGGTCATCAAGGACCCGCCACCCGAAATCTAAGAAAAGGGATGACAAGCACAGGGAAAGATCTAGACAGGAAAGGGAGCGAGTCCGAGAGTCCAAATGAGTGGGCTCACCAGAATTCAGAAGAGACAGGGAAGAAGAGAGGATGAAAGGCTCAAGGATTCGACCCCGGGTGTTTGTCAGCACATCACCCCAAAGGGCATGTCGACAATTGAAATCACCCAGCAGGAGCACAGGCTCCGGCAAGGAGTCCAGGAGGTGTTTAAGATCGAGTAGAGAAAGTGGGACAGTGAGAGGGGGGGGGGGGAGATTAATGGGACAAATTGTGTACCATTTATGCACAAAGACACGGGCAGCAGAACAGTGGAGAGGCGATGAAAAAAATAAGGGGACGAAGGGAACATCAGAGCAAATCAAGAGAGCAGAAGAGTTTTGGGCCCCAGCAACAGCAGGGGGGGGGGGCCGGGAGAAAAAAATAACTATGGAAGCGACCATGAGGAGCACCAAGCATCAGCTCCTGGAGACAGACCCAAAGGGGCGAAAACTGTGAAATTAGAAGTTGGAGGTCAAGGAAATTGGCATAATATCCACGGAAGTTCTACTGAAGAATAGACACTGGCAAAAACAGAAAGGATAGCAACAGAGAACATAGAAGAAAGAAAGGTGAAAAAGGAACACGGCACGTTGAAGAAGCACAGGGTCAGGATCAGGGTCAGCGAAGTTAGGGTTAGGGGGCATGGGTAAACTGAGTAAAGAATGAGGGAAAGGAGCGGGAGGACAGACCAGAGGTGGATGAGCAGGGTCCAGAAGAGGAGGAGGAAAAGGAGGAGGAGGAGGAGGACGAGACAACCGAGAGGGGCGGTGAAGGAGAGCAAGAGAAGGAGGAGCAGAAAGAGGGGAATGCACCTCAGCAAGGGCAGTAACCGAATCGGAACCTGGGGCCAAAGAAACCTCCACAGTAGGAACAGAGAGCTCTACCACCGAAACGAGAGGGGAAGGAACGATAGAATCAGAGACAGGGGGTGAAGAAGAAAGCGAAGTCTTTTTACCTACCGGGGAGGAGGAAGGAGAGGAGCCAGGTTTCCGCTTCTGACTCAAAGAAATAGGTGTCCCAGCAGCAATGTACTGGGCAACAGACTCTAGCGTTTCAATAGGAGAAGAAGAACGAGAGTGAACAACATGATCACCAGGAGAGCAATGGACATCGGCCCGCACAGTCAGGCGGCGTAGAGAGCCAAGAGATGGAGGATAATGATGGGAAGGAGGACCAGAGGGAGAGGAGAAAGAAGACACAGGAGACATGGCAGACTGGATATAAAGAAGGGGAACCCTAGACAGAAACCAGGAGGGGGGACCCTCCGGGACAGAATGGAAAGAAACAGGGGAGGAGGTGATGGGCGTGTCCAGGTCTAAAGCCTGGAAACAGTTGTGAGACTGAGGAAGGTGAGAAGGACGAGGAGAAAAAGAGCGCACCACGCTAGCATAAGAGATGCTAGCGAAAGTGGACAGATGATGAACTTGGCGCCTAGCCTCAGGAAAAGACAAACGGTCCCGGTGCTTCAAGTTGAGGAAGGCTGCCTCAAGTTTGTAATGTATACACGTGCGGGAGAAGGTAGGGTGGGCCTCACCGCAAATGAGGTAGCAGGCCCTGGGAGAAGTTCACTCCAACTTAGAGTGACCCTCGCCTCCACACATGGGACAGAGGGAGACAGGACTAGAGCATTTGAGGGCACCATGCCCAAACCTCCTGCACTTATTGCAGAGCCGAGGAGATGGAATATACGCCTGAACGGAGCATCTGGCATTAGTAAGAATGACAGAGGGCGGAAGGGTCCTTCCATCAAAGATAATCTTCACAACCCGAAGGGGCAGACGGCGACGACCACAAGGGGAACGAGTAAACGTATCCACCTGAAGGACAGAATGACCCTGGGCCTCAAGAATATGCTTGATAGCCTCATGGATATCAAGCATATTTCTAACACTTTTATACTTTTAGATTTCTAACACTGGTTGCAACATGGTGTGGGAGGAGAACAGTGCCATCACCGGCATATAACCGAGCGTTCTTGGAGACCCGAACAGGGGTCTCACCAATGCAAGGATAAGGCGGCCAAGCTGGTGGCAGCATCCTGAGAAGGAGCAGCAGCGACACGGGTACCAAAACGGGTGGGGTTGAAAGTAACAGAGGCATCTACTGAATCTACAAGATGCCTATGAAGGGAAAAATCGTCAGGAGGAGTTGAATCTAAAGCATGGAGGTCAAAGTACTTAGTCTACGTAGCAGGGCCAAACAAAGCATGGTATGAATTAGTATGGGAAGGGAGCATACGAGAGCGGCAGTGGCTGGGACGGAGATGAGAACTTTTAGAGAGATATGGGTCATAAGGCGCAGTAGTCACAATAAGTGATGGAGCAGTGCAAGGGGACGAGGCGGTCACCACAGAAGGCTTGGGACTCGACCCAACCACAGAGGAGGGAGGGGAGAAGGGAAGAAGAGTCCAGTCTGGGTCTAAACCGGGCCCTGTAGCGAGGGCTACAGCGTCCGGTCTTCCAGGACGGTCCGACTCAGGGGCCTGGTCACCCACCCCATGAGCCTGGGTAACAGAAGTCGTGTCGTCATCCATGCAGCAAACAATTTCAAAGGTTTGGGACCTGGAACCAAGGGATACCACCTACCAGGGTGGCCGAGCGCGGGCCAGTGCAGGAAGGGTGCGTCGTCCCCCAGCGGTGCTCCCCCTTCTCAACAGGGGAGAACCTACTACATCGTCCATTCTCCCATACTGGTGCTAAGACCCCATTCCCCCCTATCGTCCCAGCCTAGACATCCAACCATCTACTCAGGGCAGCCCATCACAGGCGACCCCTCCAGCGGGTGGTCCGATGGCTCACAAGGCCCCTACGTGGTGCTCTTCAGCACGTACACCACCCAAAGAGTGAGAAAAGGCCACCCACACCGGTCCCAGGGAGGTGTACGTGGCCCCTCACCACAGCAAGGAGGCACCACGGAGGGGCTGTAGCATGAAGTAGTGGCGTTTTGCTATCGTTAATCTCATTTTCTGCATTGCGTATCGTATTTCGAGACACATATATGGATAGAAAAGTGACAATGAAGTTTCGGAGCGTTGTCGATAATTCTCAAGTCGAAACTGAGGTAGAGTATGGAAGGATTCATTGTTTAATTGTTTTCCTACATGGCCCATAGTAGATATTACCAATATCCATCATTCAATTCATCACTGGATTCCTTACGTCTTTTCTCCGTGTAAAAAACAAATATTCAATCACAACGTCCTTAACTCTGAACATTTTATACTCAGTAATCGCCTGATTGACTTGAATCAGCAATTTAGGAAATTCATTTTCTAGATATAATCGCGAAAATATCCACTGATGATTTAACTTAGACCTGGGTTATATTCAGGACTTAAGTATACTTACTGCTTATGTAGTGGTCTAAATAGCTTAAGGACTATCCATATTTTATATTACTCTCGAGAGGGTAATATAGGCCTTAAGCATGATAACAAACCTATATCAAATACAATCGGAGCAATGTGTATATATATATACCTACCCAAACCCAATCAAATCAAACCTAACCTAAGCATAACCAAATATACTGAAGCGATGAGACTTTTTTATAGGTAAATATAAATTTGCTTTGATTTCATGTATTAAAGACAAAAGTTAACGTAAATTATTGGTGTTTGTTTTGCTTTATTAACTCTTTGTACAGAGGAACGTAAGATCATTGGGGTTAATAGTACATTGCAGGAAGGTAAGAGCAAAGTGTATGAGAACATACTGCAGGAACGTAAGAACAAAGCCTGTGAGAGGATATTCCAAGAACGTCAGAAAGAAAGTAAATAATGACACTAATGGTGATTAGTGGCGCCAGTAAGAGACAGGGGCTTCACGTACTCATCCTGTTCTCAGCCATCTTGTAGGTGAAGGCCTCGAGGGTGACGGGCTCGGAGTCGCCCAGGGAATTGGTGGCCACCACGTGTATCACGTAGTCGAGGCCTGGAGTGAGGCCTTCCAGGGTGAAGTTGGCCGAGTTCGAGGTCACCTTCGCCTGCCCCTGTCCCGTCACCGCCTCAAACACCTGCGGTAGAGGAGGGAAGATCAGTGCACGTGTGTATGAGGGAATGGAGAAGTGTGTCGTCTTTGGAGTCCCTCCTCATTGTGTCACTCAGCTGCAGAGAGGGAGAGAGAAGGGGATACATTTAGCTGCAGAGGGGGAAAAAGAAGGGGATACACTCAGCTGCAGAGGGGGGAGAGAGAAGGGGATACACTCAGCTGCAGAGGGGGGGGAGAGAGAAGGGGATACACTCAGCTGCAGAGGGAGGAGAGAGAAGGGAATACACTCAGCTGCAGAGGGGGGGGAGAGAGAAGGGGATACACTCAGCTGCAGAGGGAGGAGAGAGAAGGGGATACACTCAGCTGCAGAGGGGGGAGAGAGAAGGGGATACACTCAGCTGCAGAGGGGGAGAGAGAAGCAGATACATTCAGCTGCAGGGGGGGGGGGAGAGAGAAGGGGATACATTCAGCTGCAGAGGGGGAAAAAGAAGGGGATACACTCAGCTGCAGAGGGGGGAGAGAGAAGGGGATACATTCAGCTGCAGAGGGGGAAAAAGAAGGGGATACACTCAGCTGCAGAGGGGGGAGAGAGAAGGGGATACACTCAGCTGCAGAGGGGGGAGAGAGAAGGGGATACACTCAGCTGCAGAGGGGGGAGAGAGAAGGGGATACATTCAGCTGCAGAGGGGGAAAAAGAAGGGGATACACTCAGCTGCAGAGGGGGGAGAGAGAAGGGGATACACTCAGCTGCAGAGGGGGAGAGAGAAGGGGATACACTCAGAGTTGTGAGCCCGACCGACGTGCAGGTAATGTTAACCTCGCCCCTGTAGCAGAGAGCTGGACTGGAGGTCGAGGTCAGTTGGTGAGTAAACGAAATATATTTGTAATTTTGTTTTTGTTTTAGTTTTCTTATCGAAAATATGGTCATGAAAATCCATGCTAGACCGCTAGTGTTCCCTAGACTTTATATCATAATACAGCTGTTGTATAAGAAGAACTAGTTTTTGCATAATATATGTTTTTGAAACTTGGGCTTTGCAATACTGCCAAACTTCTAGTTTACAATACTATGAAACAAAAAAAAATTGTTTTTGTTACACATAAGAAAAACATTAAAAGATATATTTTACTTAATATAAAATAGATATAAAAAGAGGTTTGAATATTAACTAACAGCAAATATTGGCAAATTAAATTTAAAGGCTATAAAGATCAACCATCAACCACAGATCATCCAAAGATCTCACACAACCAGATCATCCAAAGATCTCACACAACCAGATCATCCAAATATCTCACACAACCAGATCATCCAAAGATCTCACACAACCAGATCAGCCAAAGATCTCACACAACCAGATCATCCAAAGATCTCACACAACCAGATCAGCCAAAGATCTCACAACCAGATCATCCAAAGATCTCACACAACCAGATCATCCAAATATCTCACACAACCAGATCATCACCTGAGAAATCTTAACAAGCAACACTGAAATAATCGACAGGTGAAACGTCAACAGACGACTGAACATCAGCCAGGTGCTACACACCAAAAAGTCAACCTGTAATCAACAAGCAGTTAACACATAATTGCATTCTACCCACTTCAAGACCCCGAACCAACACCGTGACAGTAGAAGCATGAACATAAGCATTTAATAGCCTATTAATATCCATTATGCTATTTATCCACTTGTTCATCTCAATCACGTCCTGTACCACCTCACCCAAGCAAAAATAAGCCTTGGCAAAACATGGACAAATTGTCTTTGAAATTGTAAAGAGTATTGTAAATTGTAAAAAAATTGTAAATAGGCGTCAGACAATAATAAATTGTGAAAATGAACTTTGAAGAGTTAATTTTTCAACTATATATATATATATATATATATATATATATATATATATATATATATATATATATATATATATATAGTTGAGGTGGGTAGAATTCTACCCACCTCAAGACTCCGCTCCAATATAGAAGCATCAAGAAATATGGACCAACAGGCTTTCTACAAACACTTCTATTCAATACCCATTGTTTGTGTTCTGTCTTGTGTTGATACTTTTAATACCCTATTAATATTCCCTCTTGTTCTGTCTTGTGTTAATGCCACATCACCCCTCCCACCTCACTCAAATGTAGATATAAAATCGGAGATACGTAAGTTCTATTCAGTTGTGTATTTGTGAACTAAAGTCTTTGAAAATGTAATAAGTTTTACGAAACGCGCCCGTATCGCGTCAGACTAGAAATAAAAATGAATTTTGGAGAATTAATTTTTGATTTACCTCCAACAGTGAAGCGTAATGTACGAAAGATTGAGAAAATTCGTGTTAGAATTATTAATCTTACTTTTTCGGTCATATTTAATAATATATGTCTACAGGAAAGACTGCTACCAAAATATACTAATATATATATATATATATATATATATATATATATCAGCGGATTAAGGCGTCCTGTAGATACCAGTTGCGTTGCTCCTGGGAGTATGGGTTCGAGTCACTTATGGGGGTGTGAGTTTTCAGTCACATATAGTCCTGGGGACCATTCAGGCTTGTTCGGATATATATATGTATATATATATATATATATATATATATATATATATATATATATATATATATATATATATACATATATACATATAAATATATATATAAAAGTTTGTGAGGGTACCACCTCTGGTGCCAATGTGGGGACCCATAGCCTCGAAGAAGAAAATAAAAAGTATTCAGAGAAGACCTTGTGGTTTCTCACTGAACACTAATATTATCTTCTACCACCCCCATTCTTTTGTATGTACACATATATATTTGTTTCATTTGAACTTTGTCACAAAAAAGGAGTTACATATAGGTTACAAAGATGGTTATCATAGGTTGTCGAGTTCCTCCAGCTCCTCAGATGGCGGGCAGGAACCCTGGATGCAGTGCGCATTTCCCCTCTGTATCGCCACGCTGAGGCGCTGGAAAAGAAAGCTGGCAGCTCTCGGGTCCCTTGTTGTTTCAATCAGCTTAGAACCCAGTACCTTATATATATATATATATATATATATATATATATATATATATATATATATATATATATATATATATACACACACACATTTATATATTATTAATTAAATATGACCGAAAAAGTAACAAGGTGACATGTCGCCAATATATGTCATTCTTAAAAAAGACGAATATCTGGCGAAAATGAACCTCATACTCTCTGACCAAACTATATTCCAAAGGGTAACGAAGGACACTACAGCTGAATTGAAAGCAAAGGTCAACAAATTGATCGAAACTGTGAACGCCAAGAAATCCGGACTCCACCTGCCAAATATTTTTGGGGAATATAAACCTGGATACGCGTATGGAAATGTCAAGACACATAAGCCTGGAAACCCACTTCGGCCAATCATCAGCCAGATACCCACACCCACGTACAGACTGGCGAAACGACTCAACGGCTTGCTGACTCCTTATATCCCTTGCGCCTTCAGCCTGAAGTCTCCAAAAGAATTTGTTGACTTACTGCGGGGAACACGAGCCACAGGGATAAGAGCCTCGTTGGACGTAGAATCACTGTTTACCAACGTACCTGTGGATGAAACATTCGGGATGACAGCAAACAGAGTGTATCGTGATCCGGCCTGTACTCCTCTTGACATACCAGAAAACATTCTAAGGAAACTACTCCAAGCTTGTACTAAAGAGGCACCCTTCTTGAGCCCGGATGGGCACATGTATAAGCAAGTAGATGGGGTCGCCATGGGTTCTCCCCTAGGTGTCCTGTTTGCAAACTTCTACATGGGTACCATCGAGCAAAAAGTCTTAGTCGACATGAACTTGAAACCGGCCATATACTGCAGGTATGTTGACGACATTTTTACACAGGTACCTGATGTCAGACATCTGCAGGAGCTGAAGGAGGCGTTTGAGCAGAATTCTGTGTAGCGTTTCACTTACGAGATGAAGAAGGGTGGGAAGCTGCCCTTTCTAGATGTAACAGTCATGGAAAGGAGCGGAGGTTTCCACACTGCAGTCTACACTAAGGAAACAAACATAGGAATGTGCCTACATGCCAACAGTGACTGCCCAGACAGGTACATGAGGAGTGTTGTTAACGCTTATGTTGACCGTGCTCTCAGCCACAGCTCAGGATGGAAGCAAGTCGACGAAGAAATCTGTAGGGTAAGGCAGGTCCTAGTCAACAACGGCTTCTCCAATGGTTTCGTTGAAGACATAAGAAGGGAAGTGAAACGCCATGCAACCTCTGAAGAGACCACTAACACAACACCTATACCCCCTATTAGACTATTTTACAGGAACTTCTTTTCCACAGCTCACAAAACGGAGGAAAGGGTCCTGAAAGATATTGTTAATAGAAACGTTACCCCTACAGACAAAAATCAGAAGATACAACTGACGATTTACTATAAATCGAAAAAAACGGCCAGCCTACTCATGAGAAACTCTCCAGACACAAAGCAGAACGCTTTAAAAGAGACCAACGTCGTTTATGCATTCAAATGCCCTCTTGGGGACTGTAAGCCTAAAAAAACTCAGTATATAGGCAAGACAACATCTCTTTCCAGGCGATTAACGATGCATAAGTGTTACGGCCCTACTGGGACGCAACCGGGTTCTTCTCTGGTGGTATTAGAGTTTGGGTATCCGGCCCCAAGTTAGTAGAGGCTTTCAAGGGGTGTGTTCCGTAACACAAGTTAAATTAAAGGGGGAGGGATACAAATATTCCAGTTTTCTGATATATTTTCCACCACCAAATATAAATAAATAACAGTCACACGCGGGGATTATTACTACACAAAAATATATACAGTTGCGTCTTCCTCCGAAGACACTGGATGCTCAACGATGCTCACTCTGGGTAGCCCTGGTTCCTTCTTCCGTGGCCCACGAGGAATCCACGCTGACTACCCCGAATCTACCCTGGCCACAGGCCAGCCAAATCACAGTCCAGCTGGATGCTTCGTCGTGGAGGCCTTCAACCACAAT